TATGGTCAAAAAATTATGTAATAAGATGTTTTTTTTTACCCCAAGTATGCCGGTAACATGCATTACGATGATTCTTGATACCACGATAATTATAAGAATAAGATATGAAAGTAGTATATTTCGTTTATTTACATTCTATTAATTTTATCAGAACTCACCCCTCATGCCCATTTTCATTTGTAACTTTTCTGTTCCGTTATATGTACTAAAATTAAATAGAAAAGCAATATTAACAGCCAGCTTAAGACTGTCAACGATAGATTGAAAATTATTAACAAGGACTACAAACGGTTAATTGTTGTTTATGCTTGTTTATTAAGACACTTAATTTAAATTTATGGTACAGTTTATTCATTAAGAATATATTAGCTGAAATTTCTGTACACTTTCTGTTAGGTTTGTAAGAATTACACATGACATATTCGTCTAAATATATATTCAAACTTCTTTAATGATTTTACAAGTATAAAGTTATAAAGAAACAAACATACGTTTAGTTTGATTTGTATTCTTTTTATTTTCTAGAAGAAGTTTTACATTTTTTCGGATTTTGATATTCCGTATACGTAGATCTGCTAAACCGCGATTGATATAAAGTATTCCGGATTGCAACTATTTAGCGCAGTTTAAATCCATCCTTTTAAGTCAATATAGTTCCAAGAAAAAGCCTTTCATGCGAATTTGATTTAGTTTAAGTTTATTAGTCCAGTCATGTAAGCTTAAATTAGGTAAGAATCTCGGAATTCGAGATACCCAGCTGTAAGTCTGTAAATAGTTTCATATTGACACCCTAAAAGTTGTCTCAAAACCTACATATGGTAAGGTGTAAGCAACTATTAAATTTCAAGGTTAAAGGTCACAAAAATCGTTTTTTTGCGCTTTTTTTGGAAATATCTCATTTCCTATGGGTTTCTTGCTTGTTGTATTTATTATCAATATTGTAGAATACTAAATTCTCTACAAATATTGTTTCAAAAAATTTTTTATACGGTGTACCGTTTTCGAGATAGAGGGCGGAAAGCGCGCGGTCACCGCATCACTTCAGGTCAACCGGTGCCTCCGGTCGAAAACGCGCCATATATAGTGAAGTTACTATAATGACTGGACTATATGTTATATAATAATTAAAATTAAAAGGTGATTCATTTCAAAATGATGAAACTCTAGCAATCTGAATTATAATAATACTTTAGAAAAAAAAAACATTTCAATGAAATTAGGGCATGTATTAGTCACTAGACTTGGTTAATCATAATATTCTGTTTCATTTTCTCTTTAAAGGCAATTTAATTCTCCTCACCACGTGATACTTGTACGAATACATTACAATAAATAACTGGTGATGATTAAACTATTGAAAGAACCATATATTCTACTACTTCATTCTTTATAATATCATATGGGTTGAGTTAAAGCACAAAATTGGAATAAACAAACAAACTTCCATATTTTGGGTCCGAGCCATTATCCCTTTAAAGCCTAAAATAAATCTCTAAATCTTTTTTCCATATTTGGATTGGACTATTTGAGCTCGGCAGTAGAACGTTATTGGCGCTTACTTTACATTACCCCGAATAGTGTTTCAATCAGAATTTCCATATCCTGAATATTATTTGAACTTTCTCATTTTGTGTAATCGTTGGTTTATGCTAATTAAAATTGGTTACACGATTTTCATATAGCGTTTCGGTTATTTTCCAGTAACATAGTTAACAAAAGGACTTATTAAAAGTGTTCCGAGATTTGTAGTCTGTTGATGAACATCATAAACATGAAGGAATAAAACTAAGGTATTCGGATGTATTACGCGTTTCGGCTACTTTGCAGCAACAGTGATTACGAGCAAATAAGATGAAAGTGACTGTCACTTGGTCTTGTTATTTATCACCTACCGCCAACGATTTTGTTATTTCTTAGCGTTCCGCTCTGGATGCCTGGCGAATGCTCTCAATGTGTGTTGAGGACTTGCGTTGTGGTTACGGACATGGCATTTTATATTTTTTTAATGAGGTAAAGCAGTGTCTGGGGCCATAGGTCTTAGAAAAATACCAGCCATCTTATTTTTTGAAATGGGGATGTTTTTCATATTTTGTTTTATCTTAAGTTATATCATCATTGAAATAATAATGTTTCAAATTTCAATATCCTAACGAATTTAAATAGGTATATTAACTTTAACAAGGAAAGACTCATTGTTTACGAAAATGGATTTAATAGTGTGACTTATCTTCTTTGTGTTCATACAATTAGGTACGTGTTAGTAAGTTGGCACTGTATAATGTAATGCAATTGCATCCAAAACCTTAAAATATAGTTGTATAATGTATAGTGTGTTGTATGAATACTCCTTAAATTCTAAGAAATTATAATTTTAAAGTAACTTAAGTTTTAAGGTTGACAAGTATTATTATTTCATAGTCTATATATTCGTCTTTAATGATGTAGTTCTACACCCTAGTAATATTATTTCCATTCCAGCACTTATCCCCAAGTGCTCAGGCCCATGAAACTGATCCTCGTTGAGCGGAACGATTTACGACTTCATAAAGTGATTTTATGCGTCAACTGTCAAAGGTTGAAGTTGACTCACAAATAAACGAAGTGTCTTTAATTTAAACATCATTTAATCGGATACGCTTATTGGATTATTATTGTTCGATGTTGTTCGAAGATATTCAATATATTTTCATGTTCCGATTAAAAAGAAACTAGTCTCTGAAACATTTGTGAAGTATATGGAGTTTTATACGTTACAGTGATGCATAAACTCTCATATCTTTCAATAATTTCCTGTAGCTAATATGTGACAAGGTCTTTCATATTAAATATACGAGCTGCGACGTTACTGGGACATTGTGACATTGAAAAGTAATTCGCTCAGAGATGCAGAAAACAGATGCTCGCAAAATATAAACAGGTCTCACATCCACCATGCAGTTCGCGACAAGTTAGTGTTATTTTATTTAAAAATTGAGTATATCTTAAATAAAACTATAAGTTCCCAACTACTCAGTGTATTTTAAGAGTAATAAAACTTAAAAGACTCGTAATTTTTTTTTCGTTAACTCATATGAAAGCGTTGTCTTTTGGTTGTTTGTCTCATATTGTCATTACATTATTCTATGTATAAGCAGATAAATGAAGACCTTGTATTATGTTGTCATTGGTCATAGTAACATTGCTAGAAAAAACTTATAGACAACATCAACATTTTTAACACAATTCTGACACACAAAAGAAAATCATTGGGAAAAGAGACGAAAATAGTATAAAAGCCTTTTCCTGTCGTCCATTATGAGTTATTGTTGAGGAGGAACCACAAAATAGGGATGTGTCGTGTACTGTCCAATCTCTCAATTTTATTAATTTCAGTGTATGAAAAGTGAAATAGTAAATAAAATATATGATTTGGTAGAAATGCTCTATGTCAAACCTTCCTTATATTTGAACATAACCATGTTTTCTAAAATTGTTAAGGTGTTTGCTGCTAAACTATTCATCTATTATTTATATTAAGTAAATAAATTTGAGGATTGTTTTTTTTTTTTATATTATAAGAGGCAAGCCATGTTCGTATGTACTTTAGTTATTTTTTGCCTGAAGCTGGGAAATTGTCAGGTAGAAGAAGAAGAAGAAGTAACAAGTTAATGAATTATTATATTTTGGTGAACGATGTCAAAATGTATCAAACGGTACTTACGACTTATTTTGTGTTAAATCCCTACTAATATTATAAATGCGAAAGTAACTCTGTCTGTCTGTCTGTCTGCTACGCTTTCACGCCTAAACCACTGAACTGATTTTAATGAAATTCGGTACAGAGATAGAGTTGACCTTGAGAAAGAACATAGGATAGTTTTTATCCCAGACTTTTGAAAGGTTCTCTTGGAAACGCGATATAACCGAACTCCACGCGGCGAAGCTGCGGGCGGAAAGCTAGTAGAGTATAAACTAATTAAACTTTACACCTGTATGAACAGAAGGATAAGAAAATTATCGGATTAAACATTATTTTTACACAGACATTTTTTGTATCTTTATATCTTATGTTAATTGTTTAAAACCAATACATTCTGGTTAAGAGATAAAAAATTATCAAATAATTATGACAGGTGCTTTAAAAGTGTCAAATTCAAAGTAAACAGAGTTTAATATTAATAATTCTTCATAAGTGACACCAAAAACGTAAATAAAATTAAATGATACTAATTTCAAATATAAATTCAATATCGCATATTACACCTATATATAAGTTTTCTTGAAAACTATTTCTACTTAACAAAGTTAACCAAAGACAAAATAAATTACATATAATACTCTTACAAAGCAAAACTTATGTAAACATAATACAAGATTTTGCCCGCGATTTCTTCCGCTTGAGTTTCATATTTAGGTTCAAAGAAAAATGAAGAAAACGTGATGAAAAAACAAATATGGTATACAAACCCCAGCAATATCTAACGTTTGTGTCAGCTGATTTTATATGCAATACAACTTATTGCTTCCGATTCTGCGGCAAAAATATAAGGAATTCCGGGATAAATAATAGCCTATTTTTTCCAATGTGTTATCTACGTTGATATAAATTTTAGTTAAAATTATTTTAAAGAACAATAAACATCCAGACATTCTGACTGGTAGGATTTAATTTATGTAATAAGTAATAATTTGACTTGCTCCAGAGGTAATCTTAAGTGGATTGTTAATTTACTTTAAATTATTAATGTCAATATATTGTTTCATTACGATCAGATTAAACAGAGCTTATTCGGTAAAATGTTATAAACTTTACAGTAAAATGATTCTCTCGTAAACATTATTGATAAACAAGTAATTTATTCACATAACCAAATACACTATGTACCTACTATTTTGAATATTATAAAAAATAACTCTTTTACGCTAAAAACTTTTTATTATTGAAATAAATCAAGAAAATTAGATAAAGGTTTTTTCAGCCTTCATTATTTTAGATGTGTAATATATGTGTTTGTCAACAGAATACCTTGGCTATTTTGGACAAATTGGACATCGACAGTGAGAAACCTTCGGAGGAGGAAATCGCCAGGCTTTTTGGATACGGGGAAGCTTATTTGGCTGGTGATGTGGGGACTTGGCAAAGAGTCAAGCCACGGGTCTGGGCCCTTTTTGATGAGCCTTCAAGCTCACCATCAGCAAAGGTAAGGATATAAAATTGTTTATTACAATTATATAATTGAAATTTGTTCGATAAACAAATACTTTTATTGATTTATTTTAAACAGATATAAAAAATGACTGAAATTTAATGACAAAAAGTGTATGTTTATTATTAAATTAAATTATAACTTTTAATAATGGGTTCGCAAAACTTTCTTAAATTACTGAACCTATTTTCCTGAACAATATTTTTTTTGTATCATAATATAAGGAATGAATCAATTTATAATAATCTATAAAGCAGTACTGTTTGATTTGTATCACTATTAAGTATATATATGAAATTGAGAAATTTGTAAATCCTCGTATATTCGAATTCCAGGGGGATATAAATTATTCCTTAACTGAATATCACTAACTGATGTATTGTCTGAGAGTTGCAGAGGTTTTCATAAATAATATAACGCGTACGTTATAAGGCACATTGTCTTGAATATATTGCTAACAAATTGGTTATCCAAACCAATTAATTATCTGTAAATCAATAATTCAATAAGCTGACGAACCAATTAATCCTATAATTAAATAATCCTTTAATACAGTCACGGGCAACGCTAATTGTTCCGTGTCATTTCGAAATTTTAGCCCGTGATAGCTAATTTCCTTTGAATATCTTGTTGGTGTCATACTCGTAGAATATAAATTAATATTGATTATTATACATTTAGATTAATATTTTACTAAAAAATATATATTTGTTCAAAGAAATATCTGCCTATAAATATTTTGTGAAATAAAAAATATAATATTAGGCATATCATTATAAAAGTATTCATATAATTTTAAAGTTATATCCAATATATTATTAAAGATACTAACAATATTGATACAATATAAATAAAACAAAATAAAAATATTCAACTGAATAATATCAAGTATTTGATGCTAGAAATAAGTATGGATTAAATAAACTAATTACAATACAAATGAATAGCAGAAAAGAGAAAAAGGTCTTAAAAATCGAATTAAATTTGTATAATGTCTATCATTACGAGGTATATTATTTTTACTTATCAAAAACTGTTGTAAAATAATCATTCTTAATAATTATTAATATTAGTTTCCAAGCATCCAATTATAAAAGTATTTCCCGACAAAAATAACGAAGACATGACGAACAACTTGTTAAACATCTCCATTGAGAAAATATAAACGATCGTTTAAATCTTAAAAAACTTATTCAAAGAAAAATAGAGGATGGAAAAGTGGATTTTAATCTATTAAATATTAAAAAAACAGTTTCTTTTAACTTCTCAGTATTAAAGTTATAATGTCTAATTATCGAAACAGAGAATTAATTTGATGTCAATGGAATTTTAATGATCGCTGCTTGAACATCACAAACTATAAACAGCACTCATTTAAGTGACTTTTATTAAGACAACCAAGGTTATACTTAAAAAATCGACATAATCTGCTAAGAGATAAAAACTTTTACATTGACGAAAGATTGTGATTAAACTAAGGAAGAAAACCCTAAACTACATAGATTGCTCATATCACGTATGTTATAAACAAATTAACATAATGTATCATTTTATTAGAGTAGCTGGAATCTTTAACAATGAAGATGGTATTCAGTATTTAACACATAAAGAATTGTAAAATGAAATTTACAGCACAAAACCACACTAGAATTGCTAAATTGTTCGTGCAACATGATGTTGAATACTTCAACAGAGTCTGCAGTAATGGACCATTCAAGAGGAACCATATATTTGTATAACTTCCTTATGCTCTTCTATTTCTACTTTACTACATACTTGTTTATACTAGTTTTCGGAATTGCTTTGCCAGTGATAAATGAATATGTGTATAGAGATATTTAATTTAATTTCTAATTTATGACGTGAGTTAAATGTGCACAGAACGATTCCCCAACTCAAATAAATTTGAAGTAATAACAAACGAATCCTCATTAGAAACACATTTCAGTACATATAACATTTGATTTTATATATATAAAATAATAAGGTCACCTAGTTGCTATGTTAAAAAAAATTGTTTATGAAAATGAGAAAAAATATATTCTTTTTTTTACAATTTAATGGTGTAAACGTCATTGTTATCAAGCTATTCAATAGATCTTTCGTTAGTCTGGAATAATAGCGAAATTCGCAAGCAAATATTTTCTTAAAATTTCACTGTTAAATATTTTATCTTTTCAGGTCACGATCAAAAATTACTTTTAATGGTAGATTTAAGATTGAAATACAAAAGTTAGAAATGTCTTTACAGTCATTGTTGAAGCCTCTAAATTATTGCAAACAATTGCTAGGTTTTTTTTATATAATGTTATAACAAAATCAAATATATGTTTGACGCATTGTGTTTTAAGATAATATTATCCTTATTTTAAGACCACAGTCTGATTTTTAATATTTATTATGTAAAAAATCTATTTACTAAATAGTTATAGAAAATTCTCGCAAATGATATAAGGATTTCTTGGAGTTTGCAAGGTTAAACTGTTCTTTCAGTGGGCTGGAAATGATTAATGGCGAAGGGTCAACAAAATCATAATCTATTCTTTACACAACAAAAATCGTTAAAAGTTATTGAAAGCTAAGTTATTCCATTTTACAGTTCTGATTTTAATGAATATGAATTTATTTATAAATTTTAAACTAAAGCAAACTTATAAAGCCAATGATATTTTATTGATGGAAATTGAAATAACACGGAGTGGCCTTTTAACCTTTAAACTAGATCCGGATTTAACTGAGTCTTTTGCTAGTCATTTGCGAGCGAGTTCAGAAATAAATATCTATATGCGTACTATTTGGAAAACGTAAGAAATGGTTTCGTATTTTGCAATTAGTTTAGAGATGTTCGTTTCATTGTAAACAAATTAGTCTAGAGAAGAAGAATAATAACAAAAACATTTGTTGGGACTTATTTAATACAGCTTCAAGTGAGTGGGCGCGAAACATTTATATGAACAGAATGATATGATAGGAAAAAATTTAATTTGCTTACAATTTGCAAAAATAATAAAGATCGCAAAAAAAAATTTCAATTCTGACTACCCTAAGCTACTTTTTGTTAATGCTAATCAAATAGACAGCTTTTTATTTGTACGGAAATCGATCAGTCAACCGTACAGAAGTACGATTCACATTACATTAATGTATTGTTTTGATAGGAATATAATTGTCTAATAACATACAAGTATATAAATGTATATATTGTTTAATGTATATATTGTTTAAAATAATGACAACATTATAGCCTTTTATAAAAGTGAGTATTTAATAACACACTATTTTAATTAGGATACAAAGCAGTAAAAAGAATATTTAGCATCATTATAATTAGTATTACTACATATATTAACCAACAAGAATGTTTCAAATGCTTTGGTTAAAATTAAACATGTCTATAAATGTAGATTATATTCTATAATAGTCTTTATTTCATTTTAATCAAGGAATATTTTTGTTTATTACATATTCTCTTTGTCATATTTCGGGTTGGGCAAGTAAATACTCTCACATCACGCTCAAGCGAATCGAGTAACACAATATATTTAAACAATTTGCTGCCCAAAGCAATTTATAGCAACTCTGACCATTATGAAACATGGCGTATGAGTTTCGGAACGATCAAGCGATTCATTCGTTGGAGTACATTAGTTTAGCTGACCTCAAACTGTACCAGATGTTAACTTGACTGATTTACAACACAAACTTAACTGTAGGTACCATTAATTGAATTTACTATCATGAGCAATATATTTGGTTATGTTCTGTAATTGTTGTTCTTGAAAATATTCTATAGAGTAGACTGGAGTATTTATATGTATATTTATGATAAAGAGGAAAAAAAGGCTATGTGGCTGATCAAAAACTAAACAATAATAGACAAAAGATTAAGAAATCCATACTAATAAGATTTTTTATTTGTACATAAAAATAAAATATGATATATTTTTTAATGAAATATTGCTTTTTTTTCTATTTTCTATTAAGAAATTACATCAAGCGAGAAAGCTTTTCATATTATGAACAGCATTTGCTGATATCATTAACATAATTAAACAACGGTTTTATTTATTTTGTCTCAAAGCGAGAACTGTCACTGCCTTGTGTAAATATTTATGTAATAATTTCTCAAATTGTGGCGGAATCGTGACTTCTGTATGGTCTATGTGAAGTTTAATAAATAACATTTTTGGGATATAAATTATGTTTGATTACTAAAAGATTTTGTTTATTTATTTTATTTTTAGGGATTTATTTTAATACTATGAATATTAGAATCACAAAAATACTAGCTTAAATAGCTTCGATAGTTTTAATTAAAGATAATTTTAATTCTTTAATCAATATTAAATTATTCGTTCAATAATATAAATGAGTTTGATTTTGTTATGAGTTTCCATTTACTTGGACCATCAACAGAGGAGCATAGCATAAAATTACGTATTTCTTGCTTTTGTTTCCCTGAAAGTTTAATTTTGACAAATATTTTGGCTAAAGAAACACACTTCTCTTTCGTTTGAAGTGAATTTGATGAATAAATATTTCTCTGGTTTTCAATGTTTCGGAAACGACATTTCAACTTGTCGAATTTCGTTGGAAAGTCAAATATTTAATACGCTTTTTAAAGCAAAGCCTTATGGCATTTTTTTTGTAGATAATTATTCTTAGATAAATTATATGAAAACTTTATATATTCATTAGGAGAGTATTTAAAAATCTTAAACTTGAAATTAATTATATGTTAAATAATAATATATAACGATATATTAAAAAATATATATTGTAAGTAAAAAAGTAATTGTTTAAAGTTAAATTGCATGGTAAAATATTTTTCCATTTTATTATTCACAAGATTAAATTGAAGCAAAAGTGCTACATCCTTTAAAACTACAATTTTATGAAAAATGACAAATTATTACGCCTTGCTTTTATATTATATATTTTGCTATTTGTTCTATCGTTATTTCAAAAGATAAATTTTATTTATCATTAATTTATGAGTAAATTCCTGAATTAAGTGAAATTATGCCTGTAAAAGTTTCTCAATATCATATTAATTATTTTGTAAAAAATTAATAAAAATATTTGGAGGTTTCATTAAAATTCTATTATATATATTAAATTCACCCCATATATTGTGACATAATAAATTTTTAATTTAAACAATTGTATTAAAATAAAACATCCTAATAAAGTTATTTACTACATTTTTTATAGATTTAAGAAGAACCAACAACATTCTTATTAATTCTAATTTATAATAGCTTATTCTTTGAGATATAAAAAGGTTATTTTTATATGTTTAATTTGATTTGATTGAACTCACTGTTTCTTCTACACAAACTGTTGAAAGATCCATTACACTATATTGTGAAATGCTTACTACACTGAGATGGAGCCAGATGTTGGCTTGAGTGATTTACAATAAGGTCTAACGGCAACGTTTAATTAAATATGGTAACAAGAACTAGTATACATTCATATAGTTACTAAACAGAAGGCTCATATGAATTTGGTTAATAGATGACAACGTTGTATGTAGTTGGTTGCAAGCTATACAAATACGAGTATATTGTGTTAGTATTATGAACTATTTGTTAGAAAAGAACAACTGAATGTCACTGAAAAATATTTTATTTTGTGATAAAGTCATTATAATCTACATCTAGAGAAACAAAACAGTTTTCATAATTACCAGTTATTATTTATAGCTTGGACGATTAGTTGGTATTTTCTGTTTTTTTATAAAATAAATGAATTCAGTCTACATCGCTGAATCTAAATGGTCGAGTGAGCTAAGCGGTTTTATTCATAAAGCCTTTATTAAAAATTCAATTTAAAGTTTACAATTAAGATTTTCTTGAATAGTCGATGTTTTTATTGAAAGAATTTTATAAACTTGGTAAGCCTAAACTGTCCCCTCCAGTGAGATGGAAATGATTAATGGTGAAGGCGGTTTCACTCAAAGTATAATCTGTTAATACACTAAAAATATAAAATTAGTAGATTATTCAGTCTTCTTGAAAATACGTGGAAAGAGTCCAATTAGCTTCTATAATACTCTATGCAAAATTTTAACTCAAGGATGAGTATAAGTTATAGAAAATATAATTAGTAATATAAGAGTGTTGATAATAGAAAATAAGTAGTTATAAATGAAAATAAACAAACCTTTTCATAAAAACCAGCCTTTATTTTAATTCGTTAAAACGAAAAATAATATTTCTATTCTAAAACTTTTCTATCTACTTGCGAATATAACGTCATTACAATATTTTCTGAAACAAAAGCTTTTTTAATTACTCGTATTAAGTAGTAATAATTCAAGTCTAGTTCATTATTTTACTCGTTTTTGAACACAAGTACTCGTAAAACTCGCGACAACCTTTTTGCTTTCAAAAAGTTATCCCAGTCACACAAAATTTAGTTTCACTGCATTTACAAGTTTAACATTGTTAAGAAGTTCCAAATGCATTTGAAAAAAATATGTTTCGATGACAACAAAAGTTAATTTAAATTATAGGGAAGTCTCTATAATACTACCTTTTCTCACATCTTAAAATAGACACCTTGCAACTAAGATGTAAAGCCCCGTGTCTTTAATGGTTTTCAAGATTATCAAAATTGTATGATGACTTCAAAATAACTCATCTTTAATGTCAAAATGTATGGAATAAATAATTTTCACATTAATCAATCACATTCAAGTTAAGGTAAGATAAAAGTAGGATCAAAAACGTATTTTAAAAATTGGAAATAAATCCCAAATAATATGTTATATTTTAAAACTATCAAAATTAGACTGTCTCGCTTAATTATAAATGTAATGAAACATTAATTGATTTATATTATTGCTGTCGTAGGCTGAAAATAGAATGAAAATTTATCATAAAGTTTTAATAAATTAAAATTACGAACTAGGACTGATTTTAATCGATGTTAGATCACAATATGTCAGATTGTTGTTTCATTGTTTCTAAGGAAATTTACGGTGACCACAAACAAGACTGCGGTTGAGCATTGTATCTTCGGTGGCGAGTAATGTGTTACGATTTGTCACATTTCATAACAAGGAAACTAACAATTATGCTAAATTAAACGAAAATTAATTTAATGATAAAAATCTGTTAAACTTTTTGATTGTTTTAAAATAACAGATATATTAATATAAGAGATAGATAATTAAATTTCAAGAATGAATTTTGAACTGAAGTAGCTCAATAGCCAAGGTTGTATTTTAATACGAGCAAAATGTATGTGTCAGACACCGACTCACTGAAACTTCCTAAAGGTTAATTAACAAAGAAAATTTGCATATTTCTGGTAAAAACTATAAATTAAACTGGAATAAACGAAGTTTGTAACATAAGTCCTTCATAATGTGACATCCCCTTCGTTCAACTTGTTGTGTTAATATCAAATATACAATATATATATTTTTTAAAATTCCTGCCGATTTTATTTTTGGTTCAACAACCTTGAAAGCGTCCTTTTTAGACTAGACGTACAATATGATACTTCTGGGATAGGTAAATTATGAGATATTGTTTGGAGACATCCTTAGAGATTTAACTCGTAAAGATCGTATAATATAGTAATTTAAGATGTGGTTTGAGCTCACTTAACTTATTCGTCGTTGTTTTAAACGACGATTTAATATTAAATAATTAAAGACAACGATTTTTCTCTATGCCTGAGTTAACTATAAAGAACGTTAGAAAAAATTATTATTATAAATTTGGTTGGTATTTCATTTATGTAACTGATGATGGAATCATGAAAACAATTAGTTATGTGAAGCTGTCGTGTTTAGAAAATTTATTGTTAGCGCGATTGATTTATATTTTAATGTAAAATGTTTCAAGTTGCTACTTCCACTGGCAATATATCATTGAGTATGAATTTCGACCTCATAAAGCGATACATTTGTAACAGTATATTAGCAATCAGACCCAAACTAAACCAGATGTTAGTCTGATAGATTTACAGTATAAACTTAGGTTTATTGGAAATTGAATTCATAGCCATTATAAATTTAGTTAAAATGTATCATTTGTATATATGTACGTAAGATTGATGTTTTTCAGTTAATATTTATTGTCACCTCGGCAAAAATATATTTTTAATGCTAAATGAAAAATATGTTTATACAAAGATGAAAAATATAATTGTAATAAATTTAAAGCTTTATTTCCTTAATAAATTGAAATGATGATAATAAGCAGTGGAGTGGTTTGAATCAAACTGTACTAGGTTACAAGATATTCCAACATTAAATTATTCAGAACTTAATATATTTCTATATAAAAAAATATCTTCCGATACCTTTTTAAAAGGTTTATTTTTTCTAGGTGATATCAGCAATATCGGTTTTCTTCATCTGTGTGTCAGTTCTGAGTTTTTGTCTGAAGACACATCCCGACCTTCGTGTGTTGGAGCCATTATCTTTAGAAGACATTGAGAACACTACGGTCGTCGTCGCTAGACCGTGGCAGGACAACGGCCAGCCTCACGTGGCCTTCTTTTACATCGAGTTGGTCTGCAATGTATGGTTCACCATAGAATTGTTGGTCCGATCTGTGGTAAGTGGTAACTTTTTTTTTGTTGACCATACTGTACTGCTTATTAAAAAAATCATAGTAATATTGCCTCATCTTTGCAATATTATCGCTAGTTGAAGTTAGTACTCACAAAGGATAAACGTGACTGAACAAAAGATTTTAAAACCAATTAGTGAAGATCAAAAATACGAGTAGAGTGATAACTCTCAGTACCTTGTTATTAATTCCGAGATGGTCTCACCTTCAGGAGCTTTACAATATGATACGACATTTACCTTGTTTTTTTGTCAAGGGATTTTTTTGTAATCTCCTAACAGATGTTCACAGATATTATTTCTTTGTATTTTTTATTTTCCATATTTGTATGATGATATTTCAAAGAAGTTATAAAAGTGACATGGCTTTTCAATTATAAGACCATTAAAACAATAATATATCTATTATATTCAATATATAAAGTATGATAAAAAATATCCGTTGAGAATGAATATCGTATGATCATTTTTTATAGTTTTCCGTCGATCCTAAGTAATGTTTCCTCAGGGAACATAGGAAGTTATAACTCTCAACACTTGCTTTTTACTTACAAAAACTTATCAGAATCTCTTCAATATGACGGAATTGCTTCCCTATGTTTAATAGCGACATCAATTCTAGAGAATTTATGCCCTTATATTGAATGCGACAAATCTGTATTTCGGATAAGTTATTTATTTTATTTTCATTCGTCAGTTACAAAACAATAGATACTGAACTGTTTGAATCCATTCCATTAACTTTATAAATACGGAATTAAAAGAGTTAACATCATGGAGTTTTAATTCTGTGATTATTAATGATACTTAATATTCTCATATTATTATTTATAAATATGAAACATTATATTTGTTAGTTGGATATATACAAATATTTTATTTCATATAGTAGTTATCAGTTGTAAGTTTAGTTACGGTTTATTTGATATTTCAACATGAAGTACCATTGTTGAACATATTATACATGGCCGGAGGATGGAATGGAAATGATTCTCCCGAGGGTTTACCGTGATGCGAAACAAAAGAGAATACTAAAATAATATAAGTTGGGAGAGCTTAGCCTGTTCTATTCTAGGTAACAATCCAGTAACCTGAGCGATTTGCGAGCTTACAATACATATTACTTTCTGTTTTGCTCTATATGAAACATAAATCAAATTATTTCAACAAATAGTAGTATATTAATTTATTTTAATATCTTCTGAAACTAAAAAAGATTGATTAACTGACCGCTATTGTTGAAAATCTTAAAGAAAAGTTTCCATTCTTCGATCGCAAAGACGTCAGTGCTGATTTAAGAGGATTTAATAATAAGAATTATAGTTAAACTCGCTAGAACAATTCCTTTGTACTATCTGAATGCGAGGTATATTTTTAATTGCGATCACGTACATACATAATGCTCGGCATAGAATACGTTTAAAGCATATTAAGTTTCAGCGAACGTTTGAGCCAACGATTTGGCTTATATCCAACAACTATTACCTTGAACAGCTGCTTTGTTTAAAATCAGATAGAAATTATTTTATCATTATTTATAACAGTTGATTAAATTTAATTTCAGGCAATTAATCCCAATTGATATGGCTTTGTGTTACAAATTATTATTCGTAGTGTCCATACTTTTTTAAAATGAAGTATTATTTAAATGCACAGGATAGTTGCTTCAGTTACCTTGTCATTTTTATACATACAGATAAAAATGCAGTACGATCTCGGACTATAATTTTCGTACTCATTTTTCTCTCTTGCTGGCTAACGACAAAGTAACCGTAGTTTTATAAACATCAGGTATTTCAAGTTAGTTAATTTTGAAGATTATTTGATAGGTATATCATATAATTACCAAGAATCTTTGCAAACATCCGTTATATAAATAAAACAATATTTATTTTGGTTGTAATTATAAATCCTTATTCAATCAAATTCATCACTTCTGGTAAATTAAAGATATACAGAGTAAATTATTGTTAACATCTATGACAGTAGAATTCCTAAATCTAAATATAATTTTAATCTTTGTATAAAAAAGTATCATACCTCTGTTACCAAGACAATTTTTTTCCAATGAAAACCAAGGGAACGATAAAAAATAGCAAGAAAAGCGCACGAAAGAGCTCTTCAGAAAGTGTACTCGACATGAGTGTTGACCCCTTTACATACCGCTTTAATTGAGTTAGCACAACAAACAAACAGTGTAACTGTAAAGAATAGTAGTAAATTATGAAGTTTTGGTTTCTTTTTCACAGTTATTTTAATTAGACATCTAGAAAATTTTATATCAAGACAGGCATTTATTAAAAAAAATCTTTTTCTGTCTTCTCTAATCAACAAATAAGTAACTTTCAAAGAACTTTGATTAGTAGTTATTACAGCTTTAATTCGTTAAAAAGTTTACAAACTATCTAACTTTAATTCTATAGCAAGGCAATTTTTCCTGATACTGCTAATTCAAAACTTGGTAACCTATATGACTACTACCTTTTTCATAGGCTTAATGATGCCCCAAAGTCCTAAAATTGGAATCATTCAAAACACATCTTTATTTCTTACTTATAGATTGAAGTTTCCCATCTTTATTTTACCCATTTCCTTTTATTGACTGGATACTAAAAACATTAAGAGCAAGACAAGACAACTTAAAAACATTATTGAATGGATTCAGAGATAATTTGATAAACCTTAAAGTTTTCCAGAATTCAATACCTATTACTATTTATTATAAGACATAACTTGCTACTTGCCTTAACCATTATTCATATTTCCACAGTTAATATAATAACTTAAAATTACGCGACAGTATGTAGGATTTTAACCACGGAAAAAGGAGTAGTTGATTTTGTAAACGGTTTATTTGATTTGTTTACGTCAGTTTTAAAAGAGTTTAAAAAAACTAGCGGATATATTGAAAAGCATAAATATTGGTTTTGTTAGTTCACAATGAAAGTAAATAACAAATTTCTAATATTCAGTAGATGAAAAAAGCCAATTGTTTAACATTGTGTGTTTGGAAATATTTGAGTTAGTAAAAAATACAAATAAAAATATTGAAAAATACAAAACCGAGAATGTAAAATAATTGAACGATAAAAAATTTAATATATCAAAAATACAAAACAGTTGGATCCTTAAAATTTGTATAAAAATGTGGATCAAAAATTGGCAAAATAATTTAAAATTTATTCACTAAAGAATAAAAAAACCTATAATCTAAAGTTTATATAATGTTTTAATACAATATTATATATAAATAGCTTTATATAATATTGTATTCAGGACGGAAGTACGGGAAAATTTTTAAAGTAATAAAAAATAATAAAATACATTTTCTGCTTAGCAATAGTAATAATAAGAATAAATAAAACTATGTGTCTCTATTATTTATATATTCCGTTAATAGAAATTTCAATTTTAACTTAAAAATGAGTTTTATAAAAAAATATGATCTTTCTATTTTCATATATTTTTTAGACTGTTACGTATAAAAGTTAATGATGTTGTATAACAAACGTTTTATAAGGTTTTAATAAATGTCTGCGACAAGTCCTCCATTATTTCTTACCTAAACAATATCATTTTCTCGTTAAGCTTTTAAAGCACAATTTAATGTGAAAGGTTTTATGGCCTCTAGTTTGTTGCGCCCATTTGATATTGAAGACGGTTTTATTAAGTCCTCAGATATATTTTTTATAATTTAAGAGTCCGTAATTCATTTTAAAAGGAAAAGTTTTTAATTGAAACATTTGTATTCCTTATTTAACGAAAGAAAAATTTGTTATCAGGAAAAAGTATTTTATTTTCATTTGTACTACTTAATGAGATCCAAGAGTTTCACGAGTATTCATTTAAATGAAACTAATATGTATTATTCGGATTATTATACGTATTTTATTAATTTAAAACTACATAGTCCCAACGACTTCCCTTGAGACGGGCACATCTCGTCTGTCCGTGATCACGGTTGCAGAAAAGTAACCGAAACGTCAGGAGAATGTAGTTTTAAAATAATAAAATACACGTACCTTGTAATCCGATTAATATTAGTTTCATTTGTACCAATTTATTTTCACTACATATTTGTATGTAATTTATTAACATATTTGTTATTAAGCAAATATGTATTTTATGTGCTTAGAAATACTGTCGTTATCAAAATGAAATAAATAACTGGCCCAAAAACGTTTAGATGCAGATACTAGTAAATAGTAATACAATAAAAACATAAAAGAATTTCTATTTATTCTTAAATAAATTATTAAACTATAATTGTAGGTGACTTCATAGTCAAGTATTCTTAACAATTAAACAATATAAAGTTCAGTTCACAAGCAGCCTCACATATAAGATGTAGGGGAGAGTCGGATATATCGTACCACTTTTCACTTTAACTCAAATATTTCGACTATAACACGTCTTATAATAATTAATACATATGTAAAATAAAGTTTCATATTTTAGTTTCCTAAGAAGAAGAGAACAGATCCTTGCGATTATTCTAACATTGTTAAAAATGCTTTTTTATAGAGGCTTGCCATCGGTACGATTTAGCCGACTAGTCGTTTTAATCGTACCACTAAGTCTTTAAATCGTACCATGGGTGTTTAAGTCGTACCACTGAATGAAAGACATTAAAATTCTTAATCAAATTATTTATTTTTAACTGTTAGGTAAGTAATAAAACAACATTATTAATATCTTTTAGGTAATAGAAACTTAATTTTTAAATCTTAGGTTATATAAAGGAACTAGGTATAAGCTTTCTCAGTAAAATAACATGATTATACTCTGATAATGAGATCAATCAACATAACTAATAAAAATGAGACAAAAAAAACCAGTAAACTATAATAATAAAGTAATAGTTAACAAGAATGTTATTTGTAATATAATTATTGTGCATATTTCTTAATGGAAACAACCATGACAAATGTCTGGATTCGAAGTACATGTCTCATGTAGCCACCGTTTACAGCGAACGCATTGAAT